GGTGCACCGCGGGGGGAGGAGAGGAGGAGGGGGGGCACAGGACAGGACCTGTGGTACAGGACTGCACGCTGCACGCGCGCCCCCCGGGCCACCTGGAACCTCCAGAACTCCAGGGGCCCTCTCAACGCCCTCCGGCCGTGGTTCTTCATGCACTTCACAACCTTCAGTCGGCGCATTCTCTCCAGCGAGACCCCTCTTAAGAGGCCTTTAAGTCGCCACTCACGTTGGGCTCGCCCCAGACTTGATGAAGGGGTGTCCCTTCAGCTACGTAGCAACACGGCCTAAAGGGTGCCCCTGAGGACTAACTTACCGGTGGATATCTATCGTCGCCCAGTGCAACCCGTACGTCAGTCAGACTTGAGGGGAGAGAGAGACAGAGAGAGATGGAAGGGGGGACTCTAGTGGCAGTGAACTTCAGTGCGTCTAACCGGCTGGAGCTGTTGGGCGCCGCGCACCTAACTTGGAAACAGGATCGTCCGGAATATCGCTGCGGAGCAGGGGGTTTGAGGCTAAAGTTAAAAAAAAAAAACACAAGCACAAAAAAAAAAAAACGATGTGTTTTGTTTCTCCTTCCGCTGTCGGATGGCGATGGGCGGTACAGTTATTCGCGCATCACATCACAGTTTTGACACACAGCCCAATAACTGGACCGCACGGGCGTCCGTCTCGTTATGCAGGTTAATGATGGCATGCCGCCCAGTCACCGGCCGGGGTCACTGCGCTGCTACTCCCCGTTTTTGATGCCAAAGGCTCACTGATAAAGCAAGTGTTCAACTGCTCAACACTTGTAAGTGTGCAACCGCAAGTTCTATACTTTCAAGTGTTCAATTCAGCAGTATTACACTTGCAAGTGTTCAACTCGGTATTTGTGCACTTGTAAGTGTGCAAATTCTTTGTTAAACACTTCCCTCACAGTAAGCGCCCGATATAGAGAAGTGTACAACTGGAAAGTTAAACACTTACAAGTGCACAAATATTGAGTTTAACACTTGCAAGTGTACTACTGCTGAATTAAACACTTGCAAGTATTGAACTTGCGGTTGCACACTTACAAGTGTTGAGCAGTTGAACACTTAGTTTATCAGTGCTGCTGCTGCTGCTGCTGCTGCTGCTGCTGCGGCTGCAGATCGGCTGGACACATCAGAGTGTCGCTACCCCGCGCGGCGCGAGGCCTGTCGACATACACCGCCCCGCGACCCAGCGTCTCACTGAGCGGGGCGTCTCGCCGCGAGCGCGCGGGCGGCTCGGGTCGCGGGGTAGGGCCGCCGCCACCGCGGAGCCGCTATCTCTCTGGCCGCGGATGTCGACAACCCCCGGAAGGAAAACCACAAAACAAACCAAATCTTTCCTTCCAAAAAAAGATTGCGCCCTGCACTTTAATAAATAAGACAGTCGATCGCCCGCGGCAGACGTAGCGGGCCAGCAGGCCGAGCGGAAGCATCGAACCGGCAGCAGCAGGAGGAGCACGAGGTAAACGCGCCACCGTAAATGCACGGCGGGTAGTAGGGCCTGTGAGGGCCAGGCCTCGACGAGGGAAGCACAATCTCAAAGTATGATCCTTTGGAGGAATGGCATTGCCATCATGATCAAGTTGGCTTCGAGTTTTCCTCCAAATATATATTTTTGGATGCTATAACGTGAATTCAACCTGACGTTGGAGGTTGAACCCACGTTACGTCCACCAATATTAATTATCGAGTATACTATCGTTTTGATCGGAAACAACAATGTTAAGGATTGTCTTGCTATCTTTAAAATTGCTTTAACATGCTTGAGTAGTACACACGCAGAAATCATAGTTCTCCAAGCAGTATAAAGTATTTGCCACCATTTTGAAAACATTCTAACTTTAAATTTGACAAGATGATTTCCCTCTCAATTTACATGCACGCATGAAGTTCTCGGAAGCAGCTGTAGGTCCGGCTAGCCCAGTGGGGCTGCTTGAGAGTTGCCGATATTTCAGAAGGGGTAGGAGGGACTTCCCTTGTCGTTTGCCTTGCCCCCCCCCCTCCCCCCAAAAAACGACAACGCCTGCTGTTCTCGTTTTATATCCAGTAGAATGGAAAACAGAGTGCTCACGAGTGGTCAAGAATTCGCAAACCCCTGCGTGGACACTGACAATCTAATAGTTCAGTCAATTTGTGCAAAAATACCCCCATACCATGACAAAATTCCGACCGGTACCAAACATTGAGGATCGTTTTCGGCATGTCTAAGGAGTGCCTCACCAAATTTCCCACAAAATCGCATCGTACCGATCGGGTCAAATAAGTGTTCAAACCGTTTCGTCGCTGACAAGGTGAGAGGAAGAGAGGAGATGTGACGTCACATTTTGGAGGTACACGTTTATTCTTCTGCTCTGATAAACTAAGTGTTCAACTGCTCAACACTTGCAAGTGTGCAACCGCAAATTGAATACTTGCAAGTGTGCAACTCCGTAGTCGTACACTTGCAACTGTTTAAATCGGTAGGTGTGCACTTGCAAGTGCACAACTCCTCGATTGAACACTTCCTTAGATTAAACGCTCACTGTTTAGGAGGTGCTTAACCGAGGAGTTGCACACTTGAATTGCACACCTACGGAGTTGTACACTTGCAAGTATTCAACTTGCAGTTGCACACTTGCAAGTATTTTACTAGCAGTTGCGCACTTAGTTTATTAGTGTGGACGGTCTTAGTGTTGAAACACCTCTTCCAAGTGCGCAACTACGTAGCTGAACACTTGCCTTCCAGGTTGCAAGTAATTATTTTGAAGGAACACAACCCCTACTGTTTCTCTTTGTCCCACAATATCTTGAGGTTTTGTCCTCCCACCGGCTGCTGATAGTTAGGCTACCGCGAGCAGGCGTTCGTGAGGGTTGTCTTCCCACACGGGTTTACGAGGAGGGAGGTCAGCCCGGTCAGCCGCAGGCCACATGCGATATCCAACGGAGTATTTTAAGTGACGGCGGCGGAGTGTCGACCTTTCACCCCCCCCCTACCCCCGTACTACCGGTACTGGCTGGTGGCTTATAGATCGTCCAGAAAGTTCGTCCGTTTTTCTCAGATTAGTTCGACAAATTTTCCGGAGCTCGGCGCCTGCGAAACCCGGGGTAGGCCACCCCGCACTGCACGCATGCACAGCAGACAAGGTATTGCCTACCTATCAGGCGCTATGGGAGAGTGCTTTGACTGAACTTGGGAGGTTCACGACGGCGAATGACGAACAATGGGCCCTTAGCATTTCAGCGATCGCACGCTGAGATTGGAGGTTGTTACAGACAGGTCACACATTCAGCTGCGATGAAAGTTCGCTTGCGATTCCCATTGCTATTAGACGTGAAAAGTGATGTTCAAGGTACGCATTTCGCCGTCAAACCAGAAGCCGCCCATCCCGCCCGGGTCTTGCTGATTGCAAATTAAAGGAATGGGAATGAGTTTATTATTGCACAATATGTTCACAACATGAAATATGTGCAGTATTTTTGTAGCGACATGACACTACAGTGTAGACATGTCTCCAACCTCCGACCCGCCGTCACTCCCTGGGTCATTGATCGGGATACTGCCGCAGGTTTTGGTTTGGAAAAAAGGGGAAGGGGGATCGCCAACATGACTAATTATCTGCATAAAGTTATCGTTATCATGCATGTGGTACAGTAGGTACAAAGTGCAACGTGACAATATGAGGAAAAAAAGTTAGCTACACTCGCGGGAAATGTATTGAGTAAACGGACTGCATCGCTGATAACCCAAAGTACACGGCGTATTTTTAGGCGTCGATGAACTCGTGAAAGCGAAAAGCTTTATCACTCACGGAAGTAGGATGTTAGGTACACCATGAGAACTATTAATTGATACCACTGGATACAGCCAAATAATGGCTCTCAAAAAGACAACTTTAACTTCTAAAACTATCTAATCTCAGTACTGTATTTATTTACGTCTTAATCTGGTCGACAAGTTTAAAACTAACATCTTGACTACACTTTGGCATGATAATTGTGTTACCAAAACGGAAAAAAAAGGTTCAATCTGCTTCCTCGATCAAACGGTGTGTTCTTGGTAATGGTAACAGTGATTCGACTTCCAGCTCAGAGCCAATATGATCTCCGCGCTGACGATTGTGCTGCTGGCACTGCCCCTGGTGCTGTACGTCGTCGACAAGGTGCGCAGGACCAGCAAGCTGGCCCACCTGGCGGGACCCAGCTACCCGCTGCCCCTCCTCGGCCACCTGAAGGATATGTTCGGCCCCCGGGCCACCTTCCTCGACCGCTGCAACGCCTTCCTTCAGCGATGGGGCCCGGAGCCCGTCAAGTTTTGGGTCGGCGAGACGCCGTCCGTTTCGGTACTTATTCTGGATTAAGGTTGTGTTACTATTGTAGCAATTTGTTGAATGTTATATTTACCTCTCCTACTTGCTTGTGCCACTGTAGCTCACCCGGCCCGAGGACCTGGAGCCACTGCTCAGCTCACAACGCGAGGTGTTCAAGCCCGACCAGATGTACAAGGCCGTGAGTGGCTTTTTCGGAGACGGCCTTATCACCCTAAACGGCGACCAATGGTTCGCGCACCGCCGCGCCCTGACCCCTGCCTTCCATTTCAAGTGAGTTTGCTGCGCCGTGGTCACCAAAGTCGCTTGAAATTCAGACTATTATTAGACATTGGCCATTGCCTCTTCTGTCCTAAAAACTGTACCGCATTCAGACGTGCAATCCAGGGGCTTGCCTACCGTCGCTCACCCTGGTGCCTTTAGGGATCATCCAGGAAGTACGTCCGTCATTCTCCGTCACGAGCCTGTCAGGTTTAGCTGATGCAAGCTCTCATAGCGCCTGATACGTATGCAACATCTTGCCTGCGATGCATGTGAGTACTGCGGGATGGCCTACCCCGAGTCTCGCAGGCGCCGAGCCCCCGTAATTTGCTGATTGAATCAGAGGAAAAACGGACGTACTTTCTGGACGGTTCCTTTGTGGCGACGAGCGAATGGGCAACCCGGGCATACGTGTGAATGTGGTACAGTATAACCATAACCAAAGCATACAGTGCGGGACTCGCACTGGACAACCCTGTCAGCCCACGCCGCGTCTGCTCTCCAGAGTGCTGGAGCGGTACGCGGGCATCTTCACGCGGCGCGCGGCCGCGTTGGCGGAGCAGCTGTCCTCCGAGGTGCCAGCCGGGCAGAGCTTCAACATCGTGCGCCCGCTCGGCGCCTTCGTGATCGGCAGCATCATGGAGACGGCGTTCGGCATCGACGCCGCGACCGACGAGTCGCACCGCTCCGACACGATGGACAGGCTGGTCCGCGCCACCGAGGACGCCTTCTTCATCGTCATGCACCGCATCTTCCACCCCTGGCTGCTCATCGACTTCGTGTTCAAGCTGACGCCGCACGGCCGCGTGGCCCGGGACCACGAGGACATCATCTGCGACATGACGCGGAGGGTCATCGCCGCCAAGAAGGCGCAGCTCAAGCAGGGCGCCAAAGACGCGGCGGCCGACCAGGACGACGTCAAAGGAGCCGTGGACGACGACGACGGGGTTCGCAAAAAATTTACCTTCCTGGACATGGCTTTGGGTGACAAGTCCCTCGTCCTGTCCGACAAGGAGATCATCGAGGAGGTGAGTCTACGACCTCCCCCATATGTTCCAGCTGGGCTGGGCCCCGCTGCGAGCTGACCGACTGGGCAATAAGCTCGCCGCACTTCGGACGCACCCGGTTCAACCTCTCTCTCTCTCTCTCTGCCTGCAGGTGCGCACGCTCATCGCAGTGCAGCAGACGACGGCGTCCACGCTCAGCTTCATCGCCGTCATGCTCGCGCTCAACCCGGAGGTGCAGGAGCGCGCCCGCGCCGAGGTCCGCGAGGTGGACGCCGTGGAGGGCCTGCTGCCGCTCGACCGCCTCAAGCGGCTCAAGTACGTGGAGCGGGTCATCAAGGAGACGCTGCGCCTCTTCCCCGTCACGGCCGCCTTCGGCAGGAAGCTGAAGAGCGAGGTGAGTGCGGCGCGGCCCGCGGTGCAGCGTTGACCACCGGGTGCAGCCGAGGGGGAAACGACTAAGGTAATCCGGCTGACAGCCGAAAGGTAATCCGGCAGGGGTAATCCGAGGAAATTCTAAAAAATCCGTGGTAATCCGGGGAAATTTTGGGGGTAATCCGGGGTAATCCTAGAGAAAAAGCAACGTAATCCGGAGGACACTCCGGAGGTAATCCGGGTAATCCGTAATCCGGCGCTGACACAAAGTTTAACAGTCGTTTCCCCCTCGGGTGCAGCGGTGACCACCGGGTGCAGCGGTGACCACCGGGTACAGCGGTGACCACCGGGAGTAGCGTTGCCGAAGTTAAGTCATGAAGGAATTCTCCCCGTTCCAGGTGAAGCTGCCCACCCAGACCATCCCCGCGGGCGTGGTGATCAACATGTTCGTGTACCGGACGCACCGCGACCCCCGCCACTGGCCCGAGCCCGAGCGGTTCGACCCGGACCGCTTCCTGCCCGAGCAGTGCGCGGGCCGCCACCCCTACGCCTACGTGCCCTTCAGCGCGGGGCCGCGCAACTGCATCGGCCAGCGCTACGCCATGCTGCAGATGCTGGCCGTCGTGTCGGCGTGGCTCGCGCGCTTCCGCTTGCTGCCCGGGGACGGCTGCGAGTCGCGCGAGGCCCTGCGCGTCAACATGGACATCTTCCTCTGCATCGAGGGCGGCGCCAACGTGAGGCTCGAGCCGCTCGAGGCCTAAGGCCGAGCTTTGTCGGCCGACATCTGCGGGGGGAGCGAGACCAGATAGAGATCGATAGACTGAGAGATGACGTACATTCTGACTAAAAGTTTATTGTGTTGTTGGCGATGGCACGAAGAAGATGACGTATCTCACGCCGAAAAGTATACGAATGGCGTTTACAATATCATATGCTGATCACATATGTTATTAACTTATCACTTTAAATTATCAGTCACATACAGAAAAAAGTTATTTCCATTTTCTATACATGACCGTGTATATACACTCTTAGAAATACAAAATCACAAGAGGTTTTTTTTTCGCGACAATACAGCAGCAAATTAACAAGCCACTACGACTCGGTTTGTCCCTTCCTTCTGTTTCTCTCACCTGCCTTGAACCTTACTCAGCTATTAAGTGTAACTCATTCAAAATCCTAAATCACAGAGTTCCTGCTCCTAGACAACATAAATATTACAAATAAATAATATTTGAAATCAACAAAGATAGCAAACAAGTAAAATTGTTTACATATTCACTTAATATAAGTTCCCCTTACTACGGGCAAGTAGATATGGTTGAAGAGATTTCCACCCCAGCTCTCCGTACGGAGACCAAAATTCAATTGTTGTGTTTGCAACTGTTCGCATTCTATAAACAAATAAGGTGCAATGCTGATTATTCTATAATCTTCATTGGGACAAAATAACGCACAGCTGGTCGGGAAAGCAATTGCTAATGATATGGACAAAACATTTGTTTTATCGTAACATTCTTCAAACAATTTATCATTCATTCTCACACGCGCACACACACGCACATACACACACAGAAACTTACATACCTTCACAATCTACTTGCACTCAATTGCTTGCTTCATTTAAACAATAAACAGGAAAACAAACATTGAGATGTAAAAGTAAAAACAGGAAAGATAAACAATGAGAAATAAATTGCTCTTTGTGCATTAAATCAGACCTTAAAACTGTAGAATAAAAAATCTTAAAAAATGACAAGGCATAAGCGCATTTAAAAACTCCCAGGAAAGGAATCTACAATGCCCTCCCATCAAAAATTTTATGACTATCACACAACTTTAAAATTTCCATTTTTTTGTGGTTACAATATTTTTGAATAAATGATCAACAAGAAGAATAACAATTCCTAATCGGAGTATATGCAACAAAACATGTATTAAAAATAAAACAAGAACGGAGATGATGTATTTAAATGGAAATCCTTGTGGAAATCTAACAACTCAAGCCTGATGGTTGGATTATTACGCCTATCGGTTTACTGTTATGACTAAAAACGACTATTATGCAACGTAATACGCCAACCATGTGGCAGGTACTTACATATTTACATTTACAAAAAATCTACAGGTAAATTTTACATAAATTGTACGTATACGTGCTCTCACTGCATTTGTAGGCACTGTCTCTGCATTTCATCAAAAAGTCATCCACATCGTGTTTTCTTGCTGAACGAACACGGGAGCAGAAATGAGAAGACTCCCTTTCGGCCCGCTGAGAACTGCGATTGATATGCATCGTGGATGACAGACCACAAACTGTTTCTTTCCAAAAATCTTAACAATTCAACATGCGACGAGGCGATGCCTTACAACCATACAGAGGAATGATAAGTGGTTAACGACGATTTGATATAAGTGATAATTCTTAATGAGTGTCCCGTCTTCGAAATGAGTACAATTAGCTAATAACATCGAACAGCAGTCTTGCCGACTGTTGAACGGGAATACAATGAGTGCATTTATCAAGAGCACGTTAAAAAAACAACAACAGGGATGAACAGGAATGAAGAGAAGTACAGATGACCAAGTATTTACCCCCCCCCCCTTCCCCTCCGCAAAGAAAGAAAAACTCGCGTCAAATCAAGTTCCCGTTTCACCTTCCCCAACACTGGAATGTAGTTCGAATCCTTCGGCGCGACGCCTACGCCTCCATCATGACGGTGTTGTCCCTCATGGACAGGTCCTCCGGGTCGTCGTGGCGCAGCTTCTTCAGCTGCAGGGGCTGGTCCGGCGACTCCCGGTCCAGAACGCGCTCCAGGCTGCGCTTGCCGAGCGGCGATCCGAGTGGCGAGCCCCCGGGGCCGATCCCGGCAACGGGTGATCCCCCCGGTGACACCGGGCTGGGCGGCCCGGCGCTGAGGCTGCCGCTGAGGCTCTGGATCTCCTGCTTGACGGAGGGTGCCTCGGGCATGGGAGATCTGCCAAAGAACAGACTGGGGCATTACGAGTTGGTTCGCCTCACCCGTAGACGCTGAGCTAGGCGCGCCCGCCAGGGCATGCAAGTTTTGGGAGAATTGCTGGTGTTTCGTAAACGGCTTACGTAAAAAAGCTAAAATAGGATAAATTAAATAACTACCAATTTCAAATTTAAGTTTATCCTATTCACAACTTTTTAAATTGAAGTTAACCTTTTGTTATCACTTTTTTACGGTACTGGTTTACGAAATATAGACACCACAATTCCCCCAAGTGTGACGTTTGCATCCCCTGGCGCCCGGCTGCCCCGCCCCACCCTGCTCACCTGTAGCCCGACAGCGGCGAGTCCTTCTCCCTGCCTATGCTGCCGTTGGGGGAGCCGCTCATGAGACACGCCATGTACTGCAGGTGGCTCTCGTCCACCCCGCCCTGCATTTGCTGGGGAGACGCAGACAATCAGTAAACGTAATAGACTAGCGGAGGCGGAGAGGAAAAAAAAGGAACACTCCAAGAACCCTGCTCACCTGCATGTGACCATCATAGTCTTCAGTGTGCATCGTAGGACTCACGGCCATAGTGGGGCTCTTGGCGGGCTGGCCGCTGGAAGAGGACAATAATAGGTCAAAACGGCGCCATAATACTTGCAGTGCTTTAAAGGCAAAAGAATTGATTGAAAAGTTCGTGTAAATGTAAAATATGAAATAGAAAAAAGTTTAAGTTTACGAGAGAGAAAATCGATAATATAAAGAGAAAAAATGGAATAAGAAAATTCTAACTATATATTCGAAATGTAAAGAGAAAAAGAGTAAAATTGTAAAAGAGAGATAAAAAGAGAAAATTTTAAGAAAAACGTTGAAGAAAAGAATTTAAAAATATGGTATAAAAGAGACGTGCAAAAATGTGCAGCCGCATGCGCAAGCTATTCCATCATGCATGAAAACAGGTCATTGAGACAAAAGGCACACATAATGCAGAGAGGTAACGCAAGCTGCGCAAATAGAAAACTCCACTGCATGGGGTGTATGGATTTGATAAGCTACAAAGGCAATAACGAAGCCGGGGGAGGGGGGGTGGCGGCGGGAAGGTAAGAGAAAGGAACAAGGACTCGTGAGCCCACAGAAAAATAATAAAAGTGGGCTCGCGGAAATGAAAGTCTTTCAAGGAGACAAGATAGGCTTAGGCTGCGAAACCTGTCGCGGCAAAGTTTGTGGCAAAGGGACTTGTGCGAGGGTTCAATAAAATGGCTGATAAACAGCAGATTACGAGCTGTCCTCAAGCAGCCGTGAGTGAGATGTACCTAGAATGCTGTGCAATGCTGTGCGAGGAGGTGGGGAAAGCTAATGCAATTCCAATCTGAACAGGCGGCCCAACGGCCGTCGTGCCAGAGCGTTCGGACGGCAAACTGACTACCGCAAAGCAAAGCGAAGTTGGAATATTTAGGAAAAATGTAAAAGATCTTAAAATTTGAAAATATTAGATAATAAAAAAGAGTATAAGTGAATAATAATTAAAAAGAGTTTTAAAAAAACGTTCGTAGGAGGTGACGACGGCGACGGCAGCGACAGCGTCCTGACGACTTCAGACGAACGCCCTGTCCTGAATTCAAATATATCTATAATCCATTCCGTTCAACGTTTGCTAAGCTAAGGCGGCGCGCTGTAACGATCCTGAAGCAAAGCCTACCCATCAGCCAGCCAGTTCCTCTAAACTAACACGGAGATTCAAATATAAAAAAAATGTGGGCAGGAAAACTTCAGTATGGTACTGTATTGACGACCACTGAAGAACAATTATGACTCACCGCGCTTCATTCACGGTAGCCCATTTATATTATTTTCAACCTACATTATTAAAATAAATGACAAGCTTATAGAAAGGTTGCACGACAAGCGTGTAGTTTTTCTGAATCAATAACATGGCTAAGCGAAGCCGTATCACTACTAACAGTCAAAAGTACTTAATCGCCGCTATATAGGTTAAAAAAATGTATGTTCCTTTCTTTTAATCACTACTTAAAGACGTCGAAAAGCATTTACGAATTTACGCCGCGCCTGCAACATCAATACATCAGCACAGCAAACGACATACAACAGCAGGGCGAAGAAAAGCAGCAAGGAGTAGCGTCCCTGGAGCTTGGAGTATTTCAAGCTTCTTTGATATCCGCCATCCTTACATCCCATGCGCAGATCAGTATCATTGATTGCGTCTTGCTGCCTTTCGTCGCCACGGTTCCCGTAAAACATTGTAAGACGCGGGCTACGTACAGCTAAGGATGGGGGACTTCCCCGCTAGTCTTCTGAGCGTGGAGTATACCCAACACCAGCGACCCGGTATAGGGGTCGTCGCGAGAGCCTCGGTCGCGCGGGGTACAAACCACTTGCTGCCTTTCCCCACCCGCACGCATATCCACATCACATAAGCTTTCAGCACTACCCATTCACTTCATTCACGAATTTCTCATACTTCCGCGGCCGGCCCCGGGACAGGTGTCGCCGCTTGACGAACTCGGCATCATCCACCATCCAGAACGAACCAAAGTCGTCCTCATAGCGCACGAAACACTTGTGCAGCGACAGGTTTGTTCGGATCGCATTCTGAACAACAAGCCATAACATAAGTACGAGTCTGAACACCTTGGTCAAGGTGGTCCCCTTAGCCCATGACCCCAGCCGAGACGCCGACAGAGGGACGTCGGCTGGGGTTGCCATGCTGGGTACGCGAGCTCCCCTGTAAAGAGAGACAGTGTCGAGCAAACATGCTGCCCGTGTTAGTAAGACTGATAAGGATTTAAGAGAGAGGCAAGCAAGAAAAAAGAGATAAAAAAGGATAAATAGGTAGGATAAAAGAACTTTGAAAAACACCACACAACACACTCCATACCACACGTCACACCACACACCCCACACCCACACCAGAATAGATAAGAGTATAAGATATA